CCAGGCGGGCAATTTGTAAACGATAATAAAATATCAAAACTCAAATGTGATAGATGCAAAATGAAAATAAAATGAATTTAGCTCAAAGCCGAATATCACATAAAACACAACGACCGTTTCCCCTTCAGAAAACAACTACTCCTTTGGCTAATACCACAAGTTCTCCTTGGTGAGCAAAATCAAAGTAGAGAGTGTTGAAAATTAATTTCTATCTCTGCTGTTTTTCCTTCGGATGTAATTCAATGCCTGTTGTGGTATTAGCCAAAGGAGTAGTTGTTTTCTGAAGGGGAAACGGTCGTTGTGTTTTATGTGATATTCGGCTTTGAGCTAAATTCATTTTATTTTCATTTTGCATCTATCACATTTGAGTTTTGATATTTTATTATCGTTTACAAATTGCCCGCCTGGTTTATTTGGTTCCACCTAGTTTTCAAACTAGGTACCATAGCGCATTTTGATTTTGCTTACTAAGAACAGATGGCGACACCATTTTCACTACTTGAATTTTATTCTCTCCTTAACCAACTTTATGGTATACTGGTGAAATGTGTAGCATTTGTTAATTCCATTAGAGACTGGAATTGAGAACCTATCTATTTCTTGCTGAGGAGTCCTAATAAGGACGAAACCGGTCCAAGAATGATGTTCTCCTTGGTGAGCAAAATCAAAGTAGAGAGTGTTGAAAATTAATTTCTATCTCTGCTGTTTTTCCTTCGGATGTAATTCAATGCCTGTTGTGGTATTAGCCAAAGGAGTAGTTGTTTTCTGAAGGGGAAACGGTCGTTGTGTTTTATGTGATATTCGGCTTTGAGCTAAATTCATTTTATTTTCATTTTGCATCTATCACATTTGAGTTTTGATATTTTATTATCGTTTAAAAAAGGAAACCCCTGTTGAAGTTCTCAAGTTTATCGCTACACTTAAATTCGCACCATACCTTAGTATAGCATTAAGAATCTTACTTACATTGCCAGCTTCAGGGGAAAGAAGCTTTTCAAAACTAAAAATAATAAAAAATTGTCTCAGAACGATGCAGACGCAAAACGTCTCAATGGATTGGCAAATTATAGGGTCAAATTAGACTTGAATTCACTGGTTCGTGAGTTTGCCGAAAGAAAAGTTAGAAAAAGACCATTTTAATTACTTTGGTTAGTTAGAATTTATTTATAATATGTGATATTAGTTTAGTTAGCATTATTACATTTTAATTTTTGTTTATCTTGTTATCTGATGATTGAGTTTTTAATAAAACGTTTTTCTATTTTTTTAATTTTTTTTGCAATGTTTTCTTGACTTTCTGATATGGTCGCATGAGATTTTCTTAAAACAAAACGGGGGGGGGGCGCAAAATTAAGGTTTTACCCGGAGCGTCAAAATGTCTAGGGCCGGCCCTGTTCACGTCTAAACACATGGAATTATACATATGTTAGCGGTATTTCTCTATACTCCCCACCATACATTCCTGAAGTCCATACACATGCGTGTCAGGATGGACGAGCGGGAGAAGACAGACCAGCGCAGTGGGTAGTACGCTAATAGACAGTGGCAATACCACAGCAACATTGTAATTGAGAATACTTGATCGTGAAATAAACCATTGAAAAAGCAGTTTAGACATTTTTATTAGGGATGATACATCCCTTAAGTTTATATCAGAAGTGAGATCACTACGCGTACCGTGGCTAATAGACTATAATTAGTAATTTCAGTTGAAGTTAGTGCTAGTGATAATGGCGGACGAAAATCCTGAACCTCGTGACAGTGCGTCAGCAGAACACAATGTCGGTCGATGCTAAAGACAATGTGAACGGACATAGTTCAAAGCATGCTAAATTTCAGTGGTAAGAAACATTAATAAACTTTGTAGCAGCCCAAGAGTAATAAATGCTGATGTATCTCAACATTCCAAGATGGCTACGTAACCGTTCGCCAAGCCAACGCCCAGTGTTGCAGGAACAAATTAATCTAATACGCAAGCGCCGACATTTGCGCCTGTGCAGTTTTCGACTTACTAGTTATGACCCTGACGACAGCACATATTCCATAAAAGAATGGTTTGTAACGCTACCAAAAATAAAAGGCGAACTCAGCGTTAGAGATAACTTATGGCCGCTAAATCGAGCAAAGCATCTAAGAATCGCGGTTATTGTTATTGTTGTGACTGGCGACTTCTTTCTCGAACGTGGCAAGACTTTGTGATGACCTAATTGTTGCATTTGCTGACAAGGAAACACCAGCTGCTCGTGAATACAAGGCTACGCTTCAATGCCATAATTGTAACTCACGTGTGTGATTGTGAAAATCAAAAATTGTGAATCATCACTAAATTTTAATAATGCTTTGCTGTGGCATTCAGTTCCGGTTTAGACAATTCAAAAGCCAAATTCCGAACGTGAGTGGTGAGCTCATAAAATTACTTGCCGAATTTGATGCGATCCGTGTTAACTTGAGTTCCCGAGAATGACGAAAAATGCAAAGATAATTAGAAAACCAAGAAGTCAGTTTAAACGAGAAGCCGCCGCCAGGACACCAACAAATAATATCATGTCGGAGTACATAACAGGCGAGTACATTTAACACGGTTACTACACATAAAAATCCGACAGTATTAAAGCATTCATTAAAAGAAAAATGGGTCACCTCGAATCCAATTTTTGTTATAAACGAAGAAAGTCTAAAAAAAACATTTGTGTTAAAATAAATAATGCCATCTAAATTCGACACCGACAGCCGATAACCATGTTATTATACTTTGAGCAAGCTCAGTCATTAGAATACATTATTGATAGTGATGTTGACAGTTCAATAATTAAACATTCCGTATAGAAAACATTAAAAGGAACGATTAGGCCAGCTGATGTACGTGTATTTGTTGAGACTTGAAACTGAAAAGATGTTTAGAATATCGATCTTTGTGATTTTGCCGACTATTACGTTAGAGGTCGTTCCAAATAATGTGATTCCTGAAGATTATTAGAAGCAATGTCATATGCCGACCTTGTTTACGTGTTGAAAAAAATGTCAACACGATTAAGTTACATCAAGACCTGCTCAATATTCCCAGTGTTTACAATAAAAAATTGAACGATATGAAAATTAATCGATTAGAATTAATAGACACTTTTAAAATACAAGTGAAGAATCTTTTAATATTTTACAAGAATAAATCTCCTGACCACATAACTACCGGAAAAATGTCAATTTAGATTAAAATGCAATACTCCAGTAGCGTATCGACGAAGACGATTAGCATATCAAGACAAAATTCAGCAGAAGAAAATTATAAATAGTGACATTATCCGCAGAAGTCACTTAAAATGAAGGTGGGTAAGGTTTTCTGTATTTTCCCCATCTGTAAGTCAAATGGCAGTCATCTTTAAGTCGTCCCGGAGCGTCACTACAAATAAAATGAGAGCCGTTCTTTCCACACACAAGCTCAGTCAACTTTGGAGATTGAAATTCACTCGTAAGTACAAGGGGTGAATTAGGGAGAGTATTCCTATTGTATTTTAAAATATAAAAGTCCTATTGTGCTATTAAAAAAAAAGGTTTTGAAGATCAAATTAATGCTTTTAAAATATTTTACCACGTTGGACATAAAGTCAAGCTGTTATCAAATGGAAATAGAAGAAAGTTCCAAACAGGTAACTGCTTTTGTTACTAAACCTATTGCATACTATAGTCGCCGTACGACTGATTGTGAATCAAGGTAAAATTTTTACAATCTAAAGACTTGTTATAGTGAAAGCGGTTGAACACTTTCGTGTGTATCTGTACAGTGTGCATTCAATAGTATATACAGACTAATTCGGTTCGAGAAAAAGCTGTAAACAAATTATATACGCGCGCGGCGCGTTGATGTGATAAGTTATAGAATTAAAACTTTTCTATTGAGTACCACCCTGGACATAAAATGTAACATAGATTATTAAAAAAAATCCAGTGAATTATGTAAGCGAGTTAAAACTGCCCGTTAAAAACAATAAACAAACAAACAAACAAAATTACCGATAAGCATACGCTCCGAGATTTCCAGCAAAGTGATACGATTTGTCATCAAATAATTAATAAGCCGGTCTTTGACTTTGACCTACCTAATTGTTAAATAGGACAACTATAAACAAATCTCCGAAAATATTGTATGTTCGTCGCAGCGCGATTGTTTGTTTATTCTGACTTTATATATTGATGGGTCTTCACATATAGGATATAATAAGGTATTCAGAGACTGTTTATTTTTATTATTTTATATTGGCCGAAAATGGGTCAGTGCTTTAAAAAACAAATACATCACTTGACGTGAATTTTGGTAACATGGAGAAAAGTCACATAGTATCCCTTAAGTTTATACATATATGAAACCCATTTGGGTAGAAGCGACCGACGACATCAGATTTAGTAAAGCGTAACATACAACTAATTAGGTCCGTCCCTGGATTGCCGTTGAACCTGTTTTTATACGAACCCCTTTGTTGTGCCGAAAGAGAAAGAATATCTTTACCTCCAACTATACTTTTCAAACGTACATTGGGGTCTATTCTGTAACAATTCCTTTATATTTAACGGCCTTTAAAAATATTAGCGGCCTTTAAAAATATTGGCGGCCTTTAAAAATAGTTTCTTATTCGTTAATTTACTTCTATCATTATTTAAACAGATTTCTTTAAGATAGTCCTCTAATGTGTTTTAAAGATCCGTTTAAATAATGACAGAAGTAAAGGAGAAAATATTTTTAAAGGCCGTTAAATATAAAGGAATTGCTACAGAATAGACCCCATAGGCAGTAATATGACCAAAGAGTAACGGTTTTTGAATTAAAAATCCAATATATCTTCGTTAAATCATGAATGTTCTTCGCCCATTTTAGATTTTTGTCTACAGTAATGTACAAGTATTTTATAATGTTTGATTCTTTAATCGATATAAATATCATGATCATTTAAAATATGTCGTTGGTTTACTACCTTGTAATAATTTATTTAATTTTATTCGTTTTGTAGGTGCTAAATGGAAGGAACGTCGTCGCATGCTGACACCAGCTTTTCATTTTTCAATTTTAGATCATTTTTTAGAAGTGTTTAATAGTGTTAGTTACATATTTATAAAACAGCTAGAAAAACATGAAGACGAAGACAGTTTTGATATTTATCCATTGGTTTCATTATATACACTAGATGTCATTTGCGGTAATTGTTTAAAGTAATCTTATATTTTTATGTTTTACTCAAGACTGAAAAAGAGTTATAATAATTGACAACCATTCAACGAAAGTATGGTTGTTTAAAAAAATTGACAACCATTCAACGAAAGTATAGTTGTTTAAAAAAAGCAAATGGTTTTTGCGCGTGCTTTAGTGGTTGATAAGTGACAATCAGGTGGTTTAAAAATAACCTATATTTGATTGTTTACAACCAAGAGACAGGCTGATTGAACGATTTTATTTTTTAAGTTTCTTTGCTGTCTTCTCTGCTCACTCCTGCTTTTCTGTTCTACTCTGCTCTGCTCTTGTATCTGGTTTTTCTGCTCTCCCTATAAACTTCTTCTTCGTCAATTTCTATTTTATCCAGTTCTATTTTCCTCTTTATTTATTTCTACAGTTTTATTTTCCTTTTCTTTATATTTAGTACTTTATATTTTAGAGTGCTCAATACTTACTGACGTACTATTACTAATTATTATAATTTTTTTTTCTAAGCTTTGAGTCACTAACTAGAATTATTTAAAATAGGTATGTTACTCATACTCGGTACATGATTTTTTCACGAGTACTCTCTAAAATTTGCAAACGTACTCATTTGCTTTGAGGATTATTCTTATAAATATTCATACTAAGATACATGTGAAGTACTCATAAGTGCTTTATCGCACTCTGCCAAGCTCTGAATGTATACACTGTCCTTTGTTCAATTTTCTTTTTCCAATTTTTTTATCGTCTCTTTTTTAAATCCTGTTGATGTGCTTTAATTTCTCTTAATTATTTTAAAAAGTCTCTTTTTTATTCTATCTTGTATCTATTCATTATGTACCATCAACATTTTCAATAAATCTTGCACTGACATTCCTCTTATTATTTCTTTTATTTTCTTTCCGGGTTTATTTTTCATTTCTGTTAAATTTTAATTTATTTTCTTCTAAATTATTTTTACTGTGAAAGGAACTTACGAACCGATTGAGATTGGGTATATTTTTTTGTTGGGCAAATTTACGAGGTGTGATTTAAATACATTTTACAATAATTGTTTTAGAGGCTGCAATGGGTACTTCTGTAAACGCACAAACCGGTAGTAATTCCAAATATGTACAAAGTGTAAAAACAGTGTGTGCAATACTTACCGAAAGAAACTTTTCTCCATTACATACATGTTTGTATCCTTTAACACTAAATTTTTATAGAGAGCGCTCGGCTGTAAGAGTATTACACTCTCATACCGATGCTGTGATAGATAGAAAAATTGAACAGATGAAGAAATATGATGAAAAAAATGAAGAACTGAACGATAGTGGAACAAAAAAGAGATTGGCCTTTTTAGATTTGCTTCTGAAAAGCAATATAGATGGTGTTCCTTTGACTAGAGAAGATATTAGAGAAGAAGTAGATACGTTTATGTTTGCGGTAAATATTAAGATTATTTTAAGTTTTGTACAGACGATAATATTTGGCAAACCAGCGATATTTCATATTTCCGACCAATGTTGCATATATGGCGGGTGAAATTGCAACATCGATGAAATTTTTGCGGCCAAAACATCCAAGGATGTTGGTTGTTGCTTGTTTCCAACTTAGAATAATTGGTAACATCGGTAAAGTCTGCATATACAATAATTATTGTTTTCTTTAGGGGCTACTGGCATTATTTTTGTCTTTAGTTCAAGAATACGCAGCAGGAAATAAGGAAATATATTATCATACTATATTTATAATTATTTTAAATTAGCTTTGTTGTTTAATTAGTGTTGGTGCTGTTAGTTAAAAGATAAAATACGGAGCAAAAATAAAATAAAACATATACGACGGCGTCGTGCTCAAACTTCGTCTTCGTGCGATATAGCCATCATATCAATAATAATCTTGTTGCACAAACTATTACCTATTTTATTTAGTAGTAGTATATTTTGCATAGCTGTTGAACCACATGTTTGCAAAAAAAGTAATTACGATTTAATTATAATAAAATGAAATTGCCTATTTAGATAATATTGTTACCCAGCACCCTGCAGCGTGTTGCGGTCGTCATGAGTAAAGGATCGAATAAAAGAAAAAGGGGGGCAATTCGAAAAATGTCATTCCACTGAACTATACAGGGTGTAACTAAATAAGTGTAAAACATTTAAGGGGGTGATTCCTCATCAAAAACAAATAGGATCTTTCATATAAAGAAACTTCATTGGAGCATCCCTTGTTAAGATACAGCCCCTTAAAGGGGGTACATAAAATTTGTTTAACAATTTTTTTCACAAGCACTAAACAAGTTACAATATTGAAATTAACCTGACATTTTCTACTACCAAAAAGACACTTAGCCAGTAATTTATTTGGTTTACCCCATGGTTGTAAGGGGTGGAAAACGCAACCCCTAAAATTTCGTTCCAACGTAACTTTTTGTCTTATTATTTGTTTACTATTTAAAAATTTATTTCCGATAGCCTAAACAAAAAATATCTCTTGAATTGTTTGCCCTGTTCGCGATGTAGAGGACTTAAGAAACCGCATCATCGATGCGTGCAGGGTAATTAGAGAGACTCCAGAATTATTTGAGCGAATACGTGGCTCAATGCGCCGACGTCTAGACGCATGCGTAATGTCTGAAGGTAGACATATTGAACATTTACTATGATTTCTACATGTTGTATGTTTTGTTATTAATAAATTAGTTTTGATTATTCCCCTTTTTAATCATTTAATGCAGGTAGTAACTACAAAATAACAATAAATCCAGTTCGCATTTATGACGATGTATCTCTGAAGTTGTTCGTAAAATAATTTTTTGCTGTGAACTGGTTTATTTTGGGCAAAAAATTCAAGAGACATTTTTTGTTTAGAATGAAACATTTTATGTAACATTTTATGTACCCCCTTTTAGGGGCTGTATTTTAACAAGGGATGCTCCAATTAAGTTTCTTTATATGAAAGATCCTATCTTTTTTTTGATGAGGAATCACCCCCTTTAATGTTTTAAACTTATTTAGTTACATCCTGTATATTAAACTGGAAGAACAAAGCCAATTAACAAAATTAAGCCGCATAACGAGGTGATATTTGACACTTCGGCGCCCACATGATCAAAATTAAATTTAACACTGTCAACTATGACACCTTTTAAATTAAGAAAATCACTTAAAAATGATTTTTGATTAATACGCAGCTGAAACAAATGTTCTAATAATAATAATTATTAAAATAGGGCGTTGTTAATAAAAACTAATATAATTTGTCATAGTACGCCCGTGCAAAACGTGACTTAGAATGCCCAAAATTGACAGTCTGGCGTCCAAATTGTTATGCGCACCGACCATTTTTTTCACCCATGTCGGCTTAGAAACTAGGCTTAGAATATATATAGTCAGGAAGGAGGAATCCTAAACGACCTTGGAATCGCGATGGTATCTAATTTTGACAGTTAACTAGATAGTTCAGGATCCGTAAGTAAGGTCGACCAGGTCGACCTTCACCCAACTGTTTAATGGATAAAAGTTTTGTTTTATTAAATAAAATATGTTTTTAAATAAATCTCAAACGGGTTGCATAAGAAAATACGGTCACGGCCATTTTTTACTTTCCTTTCTGTGTACCTACAGATAAAGAAAGTATATGAATCATGATAAAAGTTGCTTATGCTGTCATTATTTTGTCCCTATACATGATTTCCCTAAAATGGACCTAATTTGAGATATTTGAGAAAAAGTACAAATTTCGAATTTTGAAGATAACTCAAAAACGGGTGAAGATAAAAACACAAAATTTGAAACTTAATTCGATAATTCACTTAACAAAAGCCTTTATGGCTCATATGATTAAGGGTTCAACTTTGCGTTTCGCGTCAAAAATGGAAAAACATGAAAAATTACGATTCTTGCTCTTTATTTATTTAAAAATATATTTATCAATATATTTCCTACAGTTAGTCAATCCGTTAATCTTTCTTCTATTTACTTTATACTATTATGATAACGGTCCAGGAAAAAAATTGTAAGTAGATAAGCATGGGTGGCCGTTCAAAAAATTTCTAGGGGGCAAATCTTATAGTCAGGGTCCAAACATCGTATCGATTGTTATAGAGAAAAATGCAAAAAAGTTTTTGTTTATGGTTGTAAACCTTATTATTCGTTTTATTAACAAAATAAAAAACATTATTGTAGTTTTATTTTTCTTTATGAAAAATTATTTTTTTATAAAAATTAAGAAGTACTTTTATTACGTCTTTATTAAACAAAGTCAAGCTAAAGAATGAATATAAAGGGTATTCCAATAAGAGTTTCCGGATATTTTTGTTTGCTACTTTTTTGTCACAAACTTTTAATGTGGTATTCTTTTTTTGTTGCATTCTGCAAACCAGTACAAGTTTAGCAATAGAGCGGTACATAGTAGAACAAAGAGTTTACGTTATTAAAACGTACTTTGAAAATCGTTCTTCTGTGATAGCTACATATCGCCGAATTCGTGATTATTTTGGCATACAAAATCGACCCTCAGAAAGAACAATTCGTAATATAGTGCGTAAATTCGAAACTACAGATTCTGTGCAAGATATTAAAACAAAACATCGTGAACGTTCAGCTCGCTCGGTTGATAATATTGAAGCTGTTCGTCAAAGTGTGGCTGACAATCCCCAAATGTCTATTGCAAGGCGTTCGCAGCAAGTGGTCATCAGCAAAACCTCAACATGGTGAATTTTGAAAAAGGATTTGGCTCTTTACCCTTAGAAGATTCAGCTAACACATGAGTTAAAGCCAGCAGACCATGACCAACGCCATGATTTTGCTAACTGGATCCTACAGAGAAAGGCAGATGATGATTATTTTTACAACAAAATCATCTTAAGCGACGAGGCCCATTTTCATTTGAGCAGTTACGTAAATAAGCAAAACTGTCGCATCTGGGGCAATGAAAATCCTAGACAAATCCATGAAAAGCCAATGCATGCTCAACGTATCACGGTTTAATGTGGTTTTTGGACTGGAGGTATCATTGGACCTTTCTCTTTTGAAAATGAAAACGAACAAGCTGTTACGGTAAACGCGGAGCGATATCGAGCGATGATTAATTACTTTTTATGGCATGATATAAGGGACATGGACTTTAACAATATGTGGTTTCAACAGGATGGTGCGACATGTTATACAGCAAGAGAAACGATGGATTAATTGCATACAAGATTCGATGGGATGATTCTTTCAAGAAATAGGGACGTAAATTGGCCACCTAAATCATGCGACTTGACGCCGCTGGATTATTTTTTGTGGGGTTATGTAAAAAGGAAAGCTTACGAAAACAACCCCCCCCCCCCAAACAGTTCAACAGTTGAAAGAGGAAATTAGACGCATAATTCGTGAGATAACACCACAAATGTGCTCAGATGTTGTGGAAAATTTCAACAAAAGAATTGTTTCCTGCCAGAGAAGTCGTGGTGGTCATTTGGCAGATAATATATTCCACGTATAATTATAAAGATTTATACTTCATATTGCAATAAAAAATTGTCATTAATGTTTTAAACGTTTTCTTTTATTTATTATCAACATCCGGAAACTCTTGTTGGAACACCCTTTATTTTACATTTAATACACATCTATTGTTTATGTCTAGGAAAATTTATGAAAGTATGATAAAATACAAGTTATTTACAGGAAGTCGTTCATTGTCTATTTAACTGTTTTAGCAACTCCTCCTTCCTTAAGTTACGAAAAGAATGGATTGAGTTGAATGGGCTTCTATCGGAATTTCTTCTGTTTTCTCAATTAGCAAATAATCACTTTTACCATTAAAAGGTTTAATAATATTTAGTTTAGATTTGAATAGGTCCCAATTGATTTGGGCCCATTGAGGGGTAGAATTAGTAGGGGTTGGCGTCATATTACTTATATCTGAATCGTTTTTACTAATCGAAATATTACTAAAAGTTTCGACTAAAGTATCAAAATCGTTCATCAAATATTAAAATATATGTATACATGAAAATTAATATTCAAACTTAAATTATCTTTCCGAAACCGAAAATTTGGCACTTACGTTTGCAGAAGAAACTGGCTTTCAAAATCCTCTTCTCCAATTCTTCGTTTACTTTGGGCTGACCACTGAAGGGCTGTTTAGTAGAGCTGGGGAGGATTCGAATCCTGGGATTCAAATCCTTTTTGAGGATCCTCGAGCGGTATTTGAATACTTAAGAAAAAAAGGATCCGCCATCCGGATTCGCCGAGGAAATCCTTAAGGATTCGTATTCGAATCACCAATATTAGTCTCGGATCCTTTTAGACACAAAACTACGCCGGCGCGAACGGTTGACTCACGCTGTGACTTGTCGCGAAGTGTAAACTGAAATAGACTTAGACTACAGACCGATTGTTATTATTTAGAAGATAAACATAACAATCTACAAATTAATGTCAAAGAAGGCAGCAGAGCACCTAGAAAATTATGAGTTGAAACCTATGCCATACTTTTAGGCTATTTTAAGGCTATTTTTATACCCTATTCAAAAATTTTATGCTCCTCATTTTCTGCAAAAATCAAGGTTCTCTGCTAGCTTCGAACGAACCCAGGAGAGCACCTCGATTTTTTAATGCTTTTTTCTAAAAACAACCACACCGCATTTTTAAGCTCTTGAAATATTATAAAACTTTAATAAAAATTGCTATTTTTAAATAATACAGGGTGCTTTGTTGGAACAAAGTTAGCAGAGCACCTCGGTTTATTTTTTTTTTTCTGCAAACATCTACTTATGTCACATGTTTAAGCTATTTTTAGGCTCTTAAAATATTATAAAACTTTTTGAAAAAAATATAGTGTTTTTTAAAAAATATAGGGTGCTTTGTTGGAACAGATGTGCTTGCTGGCTTCGTTCGAAGCTAGCAAAGTACCTTTTATTTTTTAAAATAATATTTTAAGATCCTAAAAATATTGTGTCGTTGTTTTTGGAAAAAAAAAACTTAAAAAACTGAGGTGCTCTGCTGACTTCATTCGAAGCTAGCAGAGCACCTTGATTTTTGCAAAAAAACGAGTAGCATAAAAATAGCTTTAAAATACCCTAAAAAATTGGCATAGGTTTCAACTCAAAATTGTCTAGGTTCTCTGCTGCCTTCTTTGACATTACAAATTAGCAATGAATATCCAACACAAAAAAAACTTAAAATTTAAAACTTGCATTTCTTCGTCTGGTGCAGTCTAACGATTATTTTTGTTTGCAGGTATAATCGACGCACCTCAAAGGAACGGCTTTGAAATTTTGGTGCTATGTAAGGCCAACTAAAAGACATTTTTATTTCATTATCTGTTTATTTTGTTTTTTGTATTAAAATAAAATATATTTTTTGTAACTTTTTTATGGTTCATATTTATAGAAAAAAAAAAATAAATTTATTTTTTTCAATATCTTCTTGTATCAACCATTTGTTTGGAAGTCATAGTCTGTAATAGACACATAGTTAATGATATTAGATATTATTAGATGATATTAGATTCGAAAGCATACATAATACCAAGTATGGCACTGAAAGTGATTCGTATTCGTGATCCGAAAAAATGGATTCGAATTACTTGATTCGAATCCTATTTTATTGCAAGAAGGATTCGGACATAGGATCCGTGATTAGAATCACATCTCGTGATCCGGATTCATGATTCAAATCAATTTTTTGAGGATTCGTCCCAGCTCAGCCGTTTAGTTGGTTTTTCACAGATGGGAACGGTTGGTTAGAATTTGCGCTTAAACGTTAACACGTTAAAACCACGAAAGTCTATACGATAGTCTATCACTCGAAGAAAACGATTTTCCCGAATTTGCACAGTATTCATAGCTCGCACGAATCCTACTGACTGCGCCAGTTTTATTTTACTTTATAATAAATTATTTTTTAAATATATTAAGTACTTTTAATACGTCTTTATTGAACAATGTAAAGCTAAAACTGAATATATTTTACATTTAATACACATCTATTGTTTATATTTTAGCAATACATCTTTGTATTCTAATATTTTTTGTACCTAATATTATTTTACCATTATCGTCCTATGAAAGTGTTTGTAAATAAAACCACAAAGTTTTTAAATGTGGTACATTTATAGATATATGATGTAATTATTGTTGTAAATACTTTGATAGTTAATATACCAGTGTTGCCATAAGTTATAAAATTTATTGTAAATTAACTAAAAAAAAAATATGAACTGGACACAAGAAATGTATTTTAAATATTGATTTAAGAAACGGTTATGGAGTTTCAACAATATTTTATTTTATTTCTATTCAGTTTGAAGTTTTGACCACATTAATTTATAAATTCCTCCATTTGAACAAAGGAAAATAGGTTTTGGGATGTTTTTTCTCTGTCTTCTCTAATGTCATTAATGTGAGAATTACTGCATTTTACTCTTATTTTTATTATACAGTACTTATTATTTTGTATTAGACATAGCCGTGCTTTCAGAGCCAACGAGCCAACATGTGACCACTATGATATCCCCGTATATACCGAGAGGCGTGGCGTGCTATCGCTATGCTCTTTAGCTTTGTGACTGACATTTGGTTCGGCTAATATCCCACCATCATATCTCCTAATTTTAATTCTAGTCTTATGCCTAACACGCAAAAATAAGTACTGTATACCAATAGATCATATGAAATAAATAAGGTAATATTTTTTAGGGCCATGATACTGTAGCTTCAGCCATTTCTTTTACGATATATAACTTAGCAAATAATCATCGAGTACAGGTAATTATATTGACATTCAAGCATAAAAAGGTTAAAGGTCTTAACTGGATCTAAAATCTAAAATTAGGGTTATCTACTTCAGCTGCTCTTTTTCACATTTATTGTATTTAGACTCATAGCGAATAATTTTTTTTTTTAATATTTTTTAGCAAAAAGCATTCAAAGAACAAATTGAAATATTTGGCAGTAATAAAAAGGAAGCTAGATCAACCACAGAAGATCTACAAAAGATGAAATATTTGGAACTTGTTATAAAAGAAACGTTAAGATTGTACCCTCCTGCGCCACTTTTTACAAGAAAAGTAACTGAGGATTTTGAATGGGGTAAGGTTGATCATAGTTCACGGCTTAGACATTTTTCTTTTTTTTTTGTATTGTAAATATACAGTGTATCCCAAAAACTAGAGGCGATAGAAAAAAGTTGTTAAGATTTCATAACTTTTTTTTGTTAAAGTAACGACTTTCCGATCAAATCTTCATTATCTCCCCTCATTTGCGATTTACAGAACGATTACTGAAAATATTAAAACTCAATTTAAGTCATTCTAATATACACACATCGCCAAAATTCTTGGAGCCACTTATGTTTGTCAGAATAAGGCACTATTATTAAAAGTCAAGAAGTGTGTTACATAGTACTTTTAATTTGGTTATGTATCCAATACAAATTGGCTGAATTAAATTTTAATTGAACAAGAAAAAATACAAACGAAAAATAGTGCATAATAAAATGATTACTAGAATTTAAATTCCAGAAGAAAACCACTTTAGAGCGAAATCTACGTCCCTACCGCAACTCGGGTGCTCCCGGTGTTGCCAAATGTCAATACGTCAATTTGTAAGTTAAATTTGTTATTTACTTCGGCTGTGTTGTTTCTGATTGTACCATAGAAAAATAGATTATATAATCGGTTATAGACCATTTCATGTGGTACGAAATATATGGTGGCAATACAAAAGATACTTTTACCAATATTTGTGAACATATTTCAGAAAAATATGCATTTTAATTAATTGTGTTTATTAAAAAAATCAATAGGTACTTAGGTTTATTTGGTATAAGTAGCGATATTAATCTGGGAAGCAAGAATGCCTATTCTTTGATCTGTGTCAGTTGGCCGGGAAGAGGATTTCACTCACGTTCAGCCTGAAAGTATGTTTGCATTTATCACAAACAAATTCCATATTGAATATCTCGTATTTCACTTTTATCACAAGAAAGATGTACAAATACTAAGTTTAACAAAACGTACCCAAACAAATTTAATTTGCAAATTGACGTATTGGCATTTGGCAATACCATGGGCACCCAAGTTGCGGTTGGGACGTAGACTCTAGTGTTCTGTAGTAAGGTATTAACTCACCTGTGTCTAGAAAAAATAAGGGTGTTAATGTAATCCATTGGTATGTTGTTCCATTCTTCTTGGGCCGCGACTGTGAGTTCCTGGAGGGTGATAGTTGGATTAATTCTGTTTGAGATTCCAACGAAATCCCACATGTGCTCAATGGGATTCATATCTGGCGAATTTGCTGTTCATGGTAATCTTTGAATATTCTGAATTTCTAGTGCACTTTGTACCATTCTCGAGCAATGTGGCCTAGCATTGTCATCCATGAAAATAAATTTGAGTCCAATTTCATTTCGGAGAGGATAAATAATAGGTTCAATAATGTTTCGATTATACCTATCAGCTGTCATAGAGTCTGGAATGGGAATAAACATTACTATTTCTTCTTGGTATTGGTATAGCTCTTGACACGTTGGGCGCCAATTTGTAATAGAAAGGCGTTACCTTGCAATAAATGTTAATTTCAAAACTCTAATAAGAAATTTAGACTAGCTCATAGAAATTTAACACCAAACATTACTTACCTTTATAAATTAAAAAAAGAAATGAGCACATTGACTATAGTTTTCTCAGTCGTGAATTCGGCTTTTCTAATAGACATCTCTGGGATAATAATTTTCTGGGAGAGTGGGGCGCCAATTTCCCATTTTTACTTTCCTATCTGTATACAGATATAAGGAAAGTATAGGAACCATGATTTTTTTCGACCTCGAGTTTTCGACGGATTTTTACGATTTGAGGTCCCCTGAATCCGTTTTGACTATTTTCGCGATGATGTCTGTCTGTCTGTGTGTGTGTGTGTGTGTGTGTGTGTGTGTGTGTGTGTGTGTGTGTGTGAGCGCGCGCGCGTCTGTATGTCGCATAACTCATGAACCGATACACAGAAAAACACCAAATTTTAAACGTAAGCTTTATTCCAGCGTCTAATGAACTGACTAGATTTTGGGCAGAGTCGAAACATCTGGGGGGTACTTTATGGGTGGTCATTTTTATATTTTATAGAATATATCTGTTATTTATGTTTGGAGAAGAAAATTGTTCAAATAAAAGTTACTTCTAATATTATTATCTATAATTTTTGCTTTATGTCAAAATTTCCTGATAGCCTCGGTAGCCTCTCTAACTCCAAAACATCCAATTAAAGAATTTGAACATAGTTTTTGTTTAAGTAGCAGTATCTAGCAGTGAATTTTCGGTATGAAGGAGAAAATTATAACGTGAGAAAGAAATAGAAAGAGAGAGACACTGCTTACATTCGCTTCCACTATATTTTGCAGTATAATCACTCAACTGTTAGTTTCAGTTAGCAGATGAGAAATGAATTTTAAAGATTCTAAAATTGGGAGCCAGCCAGATTCCCACCTAGAGAAATTTCCCTCTCTAAGCATATTGCTAGTGCCGATAATTTAATGGTAAATCAATCTCATACAAATCTCATACAGGATGTCACACAATTAAAATAACAGTTTTTTTTTAATTTGGTGTCATCGGCGTCGACTACTACGGCCATTATCCTCGTGTTCTGTGTAGGCGTTGTTACTGTTTCCCAGCGCCACTTTAGGAACAGCACTGTTAATTAGAACCCAACAGTGAATGGTCGAGTGGGGAATCCTACCAAGGCATCAGAATTAATTTTAAATAATTAAATTAAATGAAAAAATCCCGACCAACGGTGGGATTCGATCCTGAGACCTTCCGATCTCAAAGTCATGACTCTAACCACTGAGCCAACCCACCCCCCTAATAACAGTTTTAAATGGAATTTTAAGATGTTACAGTATGGAACGACTTCTCTGGCAGAAAATAGTCTTTCAGGTCGCCCTGGGCCTCTCCATACTCTGTGTCGACGACTATCACTAATTAAACAATATCTGGTTTCGTACAAAAAAAAGAACATTTCGCCACTGAGCTAAAAGCCAGTCTCTGTGTTCCTGCGTCTACTGTAGACGAGCAGCTATATGTCTGGGAAGTAACCTGGGTACTCTTAATGGTCCAAATCGTAAATTGGCTCTAGAAAGTCTCCGCCATATTGTGGTACTGGAAATGAATCGAGAATACGTTCTTCTAAAATGATTTCGGATAGCTGAGACTGTTACGGTTCCATTCCGACGTACATAACCTGCTACATACCGATCTTCTCTTGGGTTAGTTACCCTAGGACGCCCAGTCCCACGTCTTCAGTCAACGCTGTTAGTTTCCTGGTACAAACGCAATATTCGGATATCTGAAGCGCGGGGAATCACTAGTCTATCTGCTATTCGATGATTAGGCAGACCCCCATCATGCAAAGCCACTATTCTTGCTCTTTTGGATACTGAAATTCTGTTGCCAGGCATAGTAGCAAAGAAAAACTCAACAATCACTTAAACGCGCAAAATCGATATGAACCACTTTTTAAACATTGATACCTAAAATTGTGGGAAATTCTTTTTTGTAAAGATTTTTAGATGCGTATCAACGGTGAAATAAATAACGATTAAATGTACAAAAAAGCAACCATGATAAATATTTCGTTTTAATATTTAAGAGGAGGTCCAAGAATTTTGGCGATGTGTCGCTTAAATATTCCTGCACTGATTATGCGAGATACATCGTTAAATATTCAGGGCCGTAGCCAGATGCCCCCTTCTGGCAATGCCCTACCTTAAAATCCCAATGTCCTGCCTTCAAAATAATGAGTAGTTATTTTAAATCACATTATAGTACGAGAGCTAGCAACGTTTCCGAGAAAGGTCGACAGGTCTTTTGATATTTATTTTCTTATTGAAGCTTGGTGGGTATACGGCACATCTGGCTACTGGGAGTGGTTGCGTTTTCTTCTGCGCATCCTTTTTGCACAGGCATAAATTGCGTATTTTCAAATTATTTTAGGTCGATTTTTTTTATTCATAATTTTCTATATATTTTCAACAATATAAGTAAAGTGTAAAGTGCCATATGTTGTTAACTCCTTGCCAGATGCCATTTTAGTAATAAAAAAATAAATTTTCAAACCATTTTAGTATAGCTGAAATTTTAATATGATATATTGATGCTATTAAAGAATCTAAAATTAATTTACCATACAGAAATTATGCTGTTTAATAAGGGGCAGACCGATTTAAGTTTTGGATACATAGGAAAGTGCAGTAAGTTATGAGTCGGTACCGCGAGAGATATAACTGCGACAGGAAGCGTCCGGAGAGAGATATAGAAAAATATTTGAAATTAGTTATTTATTAAAGGATTTAATCACATAATGAATAAAGTTAAATGAAAAAATCTAATAACACAATAACACAATAACTCAATTTTTTATTATAAATAATTTTTCAATCACATACAAATTATATTTAATTATATTTATTCTATTATGATGTTATATCAAAATAAAGCATTTTCATGGTCATCTTCATCGTCACTATTTTCATCATTGTCCAAGTTATCTTCAGGTATATCGTTGTTTTCTAAAACTTGACTATCTGTAAAGAAAAATACTAATTAAATTAAGGAATGTAAGTTGTTAGGTACGTGTTTGGTAAGATTTTTTTTATTAATATTTACCTTGAACTATATTATCAGCAATTATTGGTCTCCAAGGAACCAAACAAGCTAGAGGTGATAACGACGTGGGTTATTTTAAGTGAGCATTTCTCCAAAACTCGTAATAAATTTAATGTTATTTTAGTTCAATTTTAAAAAGATGTAGGCTTGATGGATCTAAATTCTTATGGTTTTTGGTAGATGGTAGATAAGTAGTGAAATCTAACATTATTGACATTACCACTCTAACGAATTCCATACATATGACAAACAAATTTCTCTCGGGTGGCAAATGCATCCTTCAATATTTCTTCATCATCGGTAGCAAGATTTTGGAATGCTAATTGATAATCTACCAATTCTTTTAATAATTTGAAAGCATTGAGTTTGCCTTTACGGAAAAATGCTGGTGTGTAATCACTTCCAGTCATTGCGTGGAAACTCTATGGAACT